CTGCTGCACTTCCAGGCATCATGTTCCACACTCTAGATATAAGGATAAAATATAATTTGCCAGATATAATACGGTTTACCAGATAAAATACAGTTTTCCCAGTTAAATTTGAATTTCAGATGAACAGTGAATAGATGTTTAGTATAAGTATGTCTCAAATAGTGCATGGGGGGACTTCCCTGGTGGTGCGGTGGTTAAGAATCTGCATGCCAATGCAGGGGACACGGGTTCAAGCCCTGATTGGGGAAGATCCCACACGCCACAGAGTAACTAAGCCCATGCGCCACAACTACTGAAGCCTGCGTGCCTAGAGCCCATGCTCCACGACAAGAGAAGCCACCGCAATGAGAAGCCTGCTCACTGCAATGAAGAGTAGCCCCCGACTGCCACAACTAGAGAAAGCCTGCACGCAGCAACAAAGACCCAACGCAGCCAAACATAAATAAATAAATTAATTAATTAATTAAAAAATAGGACATAGGGTATACTTATACTAAAAATTATTTATTGTGTATGTGAAGTTCATATTTAACCTGGAGAAACTGTATTTTTGTTTGCTAAATCTAGCAACCCTATTCAGGGAGGGAGGGAGAAGAAGGAAACATGAAGGGGGTTTCTTTTGGAGAGGCTTTATCCAGGAAGGGAATCCCTGTGTCCCCTGCATCGGCAGGCGGACTCTCAACCACTGCGCCACCAGGGAAGCCCCACCTATATCTCCTTAGAGAGGGATTGCTGAAGGGCATCTGGGGGAAATGATTATTTTCAGTTGGCCACATTGCTGCCCTGAACAAAATAAGAACAGAAGAGGGGACAGACATCAGGCAGGTAGCTAGCAGTGTCCTCCACATGTGACTCCATGCACACAGCCCCACCTTGTTTCCCCATCATCCCCAAATAGTTATATCCAGTGGGGACATTCAAAATATTTCACAACCAATATGGCACCAACACTAACCAATCAGAATGTTAAGAATGGATACCAGCCACAAACAGAAGCCATACTGGTGCATATTGGAAAACCAACTTGGCTTATATCGTAATTTTTCTTAAAATTAACATTTATTTTTATTTATTATGACTGTAAAAATTTTGCTCACAGCTGACTTGCATAGTGTACCATGATTACTTTTCCTTTCTACAATTCTTTATTCTTGGTAGAATCTCGGTACCCTCTCGAAATAGTCAAATTCATCCAGATAATTGATCAGTTCTAGGTTCTCTTTGGAGACATCCTGTCCAGAGCGTGATCTAAGATGCACCTGTTGCTCCCTGGACTGCTGCACAGCTCCCCTCCTAGGACCTACCTGTGCCAGTCTTTTGTGGTGAATCCCATTTCCCAGATGCCATATTCCTTTCTTTGATGTTCCTTCATCTTGCTTCAATCACTTCCTGAGAAAATTTTTGAGACATTTCATGCCTGAAAATGCCCTTATTCTACTCTCACATTTGATTGATAGCGTAGTTAGGACTGAAATTCTAGGTTGGAAATAATTTTTCCTCAGTTTTGAAGGCATGAATCCCTTGTCTTATAGCTTCCACTGTGGCTATTCAGAAATCAATGCCAGTTTTCATGGTGGATTCTCTGTAGGTGAATTATATTCTTATTCTGGAAGCTTTTAAGGTCTTCTCTTTATATGTAATATTCTAAAACTTCATGGTGATGTGAGTTGGAGTGGATTTTTTGTATGTATGTATGTATGTACGTATGTATTTTTGGCTGTGTTGGGTCTTCTTTTTTGCTGCACGTGGGCTTTCTCTAGTTGCGGAGAGCGGGGGCTACTCTATTGCAGTGCACGGGCTTATTGTGGTGGCTTCTCTTTGTTGCAGAGCACAGGCCTTTGGCGCATGGACTTCAGTAGTTGTGTCTCACAGGCTCTAGAGTACAGGCTCAGTAGTTGTGGCTCACGGGCTTAGTTGCTCCATGGCATGTGGGATCTTCCCTGACCAGGGCTCCAACCTGTGTCCCCTGCATTGGCAGGAGGATTCTTAACCACTGAACCACCAGGGAAGTCCTAGAGTGGATTTTTTTTTCAGCAGCCCCTTTCAATCAGGAGAGTCAAATCCTTCAGTTCTGGGAAATGTTCTTATGTCATTTTCTTAATAATTTCCTCTATGGGGCTTCCCTGGTGGCACAGTGGTTGAAAGTCCACCTGCCAATGCAGGGGACACGGGTTTGTGCCCCGGTCCGAGAAGATCCCACATGCTGCGGAGCGGCTGGGCCTGTGAGCCATGGCCGCTGGGCCTGTGCGTCCGGAGCCTGTGCTCCGCAATGGGAGAGGCCACAACAGTGAGAGGCCCGCGTACCGTTAAAAAAAAAAAAAAAAGAAAGAAAGAAAAGTAATAATAATAATAACTTCCTCTCTACCATTTTTCCTGATTTCTCTTTCAGAAACTCCTACTACTTTGATTTTGGAACCCCTGGATAGATCCCCTGATTTCTTTGTCTTTTTCCTAATATTTTTCTTTGTATTTGTGCTCTATTATCTGATGTATTTTTTCAACTTCATGTTCCAACTCTTGTACTGAAATTTTTCTTCTAACATCTCTTTAATTTCCAAGAGTTCTTTCTTATTCTTTAAAAGTTCCAGGTTTATAGCATTCTGCTTTTCTTTTTGTCATGGATACAGTGTTTTTTTTCTAGTCCACTTGAAGATGTTAATTATATGGTTTTTAAGTGGTTCTTTGGCTGCTTGCAGTGCTCCTGTTTTCTTGGACTTTGTCTTTTCCTGTTTGTTTTGGTCTCTGTCATTCTGGTGATTCTGCTGGCCATCATAATTTGGAGTGGAGCTTCTAAACAGCTGTTTGGCAGCCTGGACTTCTTGAACGATAGACTCAAGGTGGGCAATTGGGTGGAGTCCTAACCATTTTGTTAAAGATCTCCAAAATGTCAGAATCTTTAAGTCCTCCAGTCTCCTACCTGGAGTGTGTAAGCTTCATTACTGTTCTAGGAGAGGGCTGAGTGGCTCACTATCTTTAATTAAATCCTTTTTTCCCCCAGTGAAATGACATCTTCTTGCTCTCAACTATCCAAGGGCCATCTGAGTTAACTTTCCCATCTTCTGGGATAGGGGAGCCATTCTAGGAGACTGAACCTAGGAGCGAAATCTGAGGGTTTAAATTAGTCCTTATGAAGATTTTCAACCAACTCTCCTGTTTTCGGCCCCATCCTCTATCCTGGTGTTCAGGTGTAACGACTACCTCCAACTCCCCTTTCTCTACTTTTGAGAACAATTTTGTATAAGTTAGAGACTATATATACTTGAAGGTTCAGATAAAACATTAAAAAAAAACCCTCTATGCTTCTGGTGTTTATTTTTCTTTTCATTACAGAACATTTTCAAACTTAATAAAAATAGAAAAAATAATATGATGATTCTTTTGTCCCTACAAAGCACCTTCAATAATTATCAATATATGACTGGTTGTGATGCCTTTCCCGTAACCATTTCAGTTACTGGTTAATTCGGAGTTTCTATTTTTTTAAAGTTATTTGATCATTTCTATTACTTTTCTAATCAACTATCTGTTTATTAGCCTTGTGACTAAGAGCTATAGTTCCACAAACTGGCAGTCTGGTTTGAATTGCTGTTCCCCACTTTGAGCAGTCAATTACACCTTCTGTGCCTCAGTTTCCTCATCTGTAAAATGGGAACAACAGTGTTGCTTATAGTGAAGATTCAAGTAAGTCATACATGCAGAGCAGAGCATTTAAAATAATGCCTGGCACATTGCAACAGTAGCTGTTATTATTATCTAATTTAAAACGTATTGGCGTGAAGTTTTTCATGGCGTTCACTTATAATTTTAAAATTCTCTACTATATTTTTAGTTACATCCCTTTTTCATTCCAAATGTTGTTTACATATGAATATTCTCTTTTCTTATTGATTAGTCTTGCATGGTTTGCCTATTTTAATAACCTTTTCAAATAATTGCCTTTAAATTTATTAACCATCTCTATGCTCAGTTGTTTTCTATTTCATTATTTGTTGCTTTCATCTTTTATATTTATGTTCTTCTACTTTCTTTTCTCTCTCGTTTTTTTCTAGGTTCTTTAGTTAAATGCTTATCACATTTATTTTCCTTCTACTTTCCTCTCTCCCTCCCTCTTTCTTTCCTTTCTCCCTTTTTTCTCAAAGTATATTGTAACCCACAAGTTTCAAGTTGTAATTCAAGTCTAAATATGTAATAAGTTCCATTGCGATTTCCTGTTAAGCCCATCATTAGAAATTATTTTTAGTTTCCAAATATATGTATATATAATATATTTATTATACACATATATATATATAAGTATGTATTTATATATTTATTTATATATATAGTCATTCCTTGGTATCTGTGGGTGATTTGTTCCAGGACTGCCCACTCCATACCAAAATCTGTGATGCTTAAGTCCCTTATATGAAATGGCATAGTATTTGTGTATAAACCAAGGTACCTCTTCCTGTATGCTTTAAATAATCTCTAGATTACTTATAATACCTAACAATGTAAATACAATGTAAAAAGTTGTAAATACAATGTAATGTTATGTAAATGGTTGTTGGTGTGTGGCAGATTCAAGTTTTTCTTTTTAGAACTTTCTGGAATATTTTTTAAAAATATTTTTGGTTCATGGTTGGTGGAATTCATGGATGCAGAACCCACAGATAATCTGTATAGTTTTGGGTTTTTTTGTTTTTAGTTTTTTTACTGTAGAAGTATGATACAGATTCTTTAAAATTTACTAAGGATTTCCTGAGACCTAGTATATATGCTCTCTTTGTAAATGTTCCATTTGTACTTGAAAAAGAAATGTGTTCTCTTATACATATATATCACCCCAACATATATATATTTGAGCTTCCTCAATTTGTTTATATGTTCTTTTGTCTTAATTTTTTTCATCTGCACTACGGTCTTCTGCTATGAGTATGAATTTGACCATTTCTCCTTGAAATTTTACCTTTTTGTGTCATATACATTTTGAGGCTGTGTTCATCTTTTACTTTATAGTTATGAAGGTGGAGGAGGAAAAGGCTGAGGTAGGGAAGCTGGACCCCCCTAACTACAGGAGGCGATGTCAGGATCAGGAAGGTAAGGTCACCTTGAGAACTTGATGCAAATTCTTGGAGGGTCTGGGAATTCCTTGGATATCCTTATAACAGCCCTTCCAGCTGGGAAAACTAGAGAGTTGGTCCCTTTCCCTGACCCACCCACAGTGTCTCCTCTAGATCTGGTGGGACCAGCCTTAACTATGTCTTAAAGGGACCATGTGGTCATGTTGGAGGCAGGTAACTGGTACTAGGATTACGGCATAGCTTCCCCACCACAAAATTAAACTCACTTATTTTATAAGCTCTACAAATCATAGTACATGCCAAATATCAACTTTTTATAGATTCTAAAAATGGCAGCTCAGGTAAAACCAGTGAAAGAGGATATTGAGTGGGGATATTTTTGTTGCTACAGAATTGCTCACTCAGAGACCCTAAGTATCCTACATTCTACAGAGAAGCAGCCACAGAGTTTATGAAGAGACACTACCCCAGCCCTTTTGGAGGGAGACAGTAATCTTCCTGTCCAGCTGGATGCTTCCTGAGCTGAGGAATGTGTAGAGCCACTCTGGGGCTGTTGATGAAGAAGAATGCAGTGAGGAGCCGGCACTGTCCTGAGCCAAACTACAAGATGTTCACAGTGAGAAGAGAGGTCCTGCAGAGCAAAGAAACAAGCTGGGGGTGGGCTAGTGATTCCCTACAGTTCACCAGCTAAACAGCCACACTCTGATGGTTATAGTGGAGAAAATGAGACAAGTTAGATCCAGGGCAGAAAGAAAATATTTCCCTGACAACCATCCCCTGATCTTTTTTTAAAAAGTGTGCTCTTTGTTTGTATAACCCCTCACAATTCTCAAAATCATGTTCCCATTCACCATTCCATTCTATCTTCTCAAGAACCATGCCTAGCCAGTAGAGAAAGAATTTTTATTCCTGCACTAATTTTTATTCCTGCACTATCAGTGAGAACACTGAGTCCCAGAGAGGCAGATGTGCATGGCCATACAGCAAGTGAAGAACAAGCCAGGGAGAACCCAGGGCAGCTAACTCTTGGTAGAGGCCTTTCTGATACATCTGCTGCTTCTCATTTCCATTCCTGGCCTCAAGGGTGGAGAACAGGAACTCATAATTGAAAGAACCAAATATGCTAAACCTTTAGAGTAGAACTACTTATCTCTAAATATTGGTGACCATGGCTTACCTCAGATTACAGCTTGCTCAGGCTCAGTGTAAGAGAGAGAAAGAAGGAGATGCACCAGCCATTCTGATACTGGTTCACTAGGAAGTGAGGCTGCGCTTCATAAAGTTATCTACCTCAAATTTCTCATTACACCCACGAGAGATTGAGGGTCCAGAAGAGCAAGCAGTAGGATAAGGTGGGGTTGAGCTGGGGTTCTAAAGAGATTTGGACACTGACATCCATGTTACCTTACTCTCCAGTGCCTAGTAATGCACCAGCCAGCATAGACTAACACAGAATCTGCTCACCAGAGTGGGAATTCAACATGTCTCTAAAAGGCCTAGACATGCTTCTTCAAGGTTCAGCTTCATGTGGTTTCAGTGTGATATGTGCAGTCAGTGATGCCCAGGCATCTAGTATGTCAGTTTCAGGAGTTTGAGCCAACAGGCAGCCCTCTCCTTCAAGGGAAACAAACAAACAAACAAACAAAAACAAAACAACTACCCCCCCAAAAAAAAACCCTCACAAAGTTAGTGTAGATCTTGATGTAAGAACACAAAGTCCAATTTCCCACTCTGCTACAGACTTTCAAATTTTAGCTGCTATTCTTGGACTTCAGAAATAGTCATAATGATCAATAGCTGTTGACCAGCCCTAGGGAATATTTTTACAACAAATCAATCAATATGATACACCACGTTAATGAAATGAAGAATAAAAATTATATGATCATCTCAATAGATGCAGGAAAAGCATTTGACAAAATTCAACATCCATTCATGATAAAAAAAAAAAACACTCAACAAACTGGCTATAGAGGGAATGTTCCTCAATATAATAAAGGCCATATATGACAAGCCCATAGCTAACATCATATTCAATGATGAAAAGCTGAAAGCTCTTCTCTAAGATCAGGAACAAAACAAAGATGCCCACTCTTGCCACTTTTATTCAAAATAGTACTGGAAGTCCTAGCCAGAGCAATTAGGCAAGAAAAAGAAATAAAAGGCAAGAAGAAGAAATTTTTAAATTGGAAAGGGAAAAGTAAAACTGTCTCTATTTGCAGATGGCATCATATTATAAATAGAAAATGATAAAAGTTCCACCAAAAAAAACTGTTAGAACTAAAAAAATTATTTTAAATTAAAATTTCAGGATACAAAATCAATATATAAAAATCATTGCATTTCTATACACTAACAATGAACTTTCAGAAAGAGAAATTAAGAGAACAATTCCATTTACAATTGTATCAAAAAGAATAAAATACCTAGAAAAAAATCTAACCGAGGAGATAAAAGATCTGTGCACTGAATACTGTAAGACATTGATGGAAGAAATTGAAGACAACACAAATGCATGGAAAGATATTCCATGTTCATGGACTGGAAGAATTAATATTCTTAAAATGTCCATATTAGCCAAAACAATCTACAGACTCAATGGAATCTCAATCAAAATTTCAATGATTTTTTTTCACAGAAATATAAAAAACAATCCAGAAATTCATATGAAACCACAAAGAACCCTGAATAACCAAAGTAATCTTGAGAAAGAAGAACACAGCTTGAAGATCACACTTCCTGATTTCAAACTATATTACAAACTACTGTATTCAAAACAGTATGGTATTGGCATAAAAACAGACATATAGATCAATGGAACAGAATAGAGAGCCCAGAAATAAACCCACACATATATACAATTAATTTATAACAAATTAATCAATTAATTTATAACAAAGGAGCCAAAATATACAATGGGGAAAGGATAGTGTCTTCAATAAATGATATTGGGAAAACTTGACAGCCACATGCAAAAGAATGAAACTGGACCCCTATCTTACACCATACAGAAAAATCAACTCAAAATGGATTGAAGACTTGAACGTAGGACCTGAAACCATGAAACTCTTAGAAGAAAACATAAGGGGTAAGCTCCTTGACATCAGTCTTGGCAATTATTTTTTTTTAATTTGACATCAAAAGCAAAGTCAACAAAATAAAAAACAAAGTTAAACTACATCAAGCTAAAAAGCTTCTGCACAACAAAGGAAATTATCAACAAAATGGAAAGGTAACCTACAGAATGGGAGAAAATATTTGCAAATCACATATCTGATAAGAGGTTAATACCCAAAATATATAAAGAATTCATACAATTCAATAGAAAAACAAAACAAAACAGAAATACAATTTAAAAATGGAAGAGAAACTGAGTAGAAATTCTTCCAAAGAAAACATACAAATGGCTAACAGGTACTTGAAAATGTGCTCAACATCATTAAATCATCAGGGAAATTCAAATTAAAACCACAATGAGATATCACCTCACAACTGTTAGAATGGCTATCATCTAAGACAAGGGATAACAAATGTTGGCAAGGATGTGGAGAAAAGGAAACCATTGTGCACTGTTGGTGGGAATGCAAATTGGTGCAGACACTGTGGAAAACAGTATGGAGATTCCTCAAAAATTAGTAACAGAACTACTGTATGATCCAGCAATTCTACTTTTGGGTATATACCCAAAAGAAATGAAATCATTATCTTGAAAATATATCTGTACTCTCATGTTCGTTGCAGCATTACTTATAATAGTCAAGACATGGAAACAACCTAAGTGTCCATCAGCAGTTGAATGGTTAAAGAAAATATGATATACATATGAATATTATTCAGCCATAAAAAAGAAAGAAATCTTGTTGTTTGCAACATGAATGGACCTTGAAGACATTATGCTAAGTGTCTTAGACAGAGAGACAAATACTGTATGATCTCACTTATACATGGAATCTAAAAATCCAAACTCATGGAAACAGGGAATAGGTTGGTGGTTACCAGAGGCTGGGGGTGGGATGTGAGGAATTGGGTGAAGGTGGTCAAAAGGCACAAACTTTCAGTTATGAGATAAATTAGTCATGGGGATGTGATGTACTGTATGGTGACTGTAGTTAACAATAGTGTATTGTATGCTTGAAAGTTGCTAAGAGACTAAATCTTGAAAGTTCTCATCACAAGAAAAAAATTTGTAACTATGTGTGGTGATGGACGTTAACTGAACTTATTGTGGTAATCATTTTGCAGATATATGTATATCAAATCATTATGTTGTACACCTTAAATTAATACAATATTATATGTCAGTCACAACCCAAGTTACAAAAATAATAGGAGAAACTTGAGGTGGCATATGGTAGGGTACATGGAACTTCATGTATTATCTGCTCAATTATTCTGTACATCTAAAATTGTACTAAAAAGACTATTAATTATTTTTAAAATTGTTGACCAACTCAAGACAATACGGATGAGAAACTGGTGGCAGAATGTCCTTCCTGAGGTCTGAGGGAATTCTAGCTGCCTCTTTGTATACAGAGTTAGTGGGGGATTTACATAGCAGCCAGGCTTCTTAGTGGAATTCTGAATTAGGGTTTTTGGTAGCTCTAGTTCTTGAAAATTCTGGTTTACAAAACCAGCTTTGAGAAATCCTTAATAACTCACTTCTCTGATGAGTAGTAGTTCACACAGTCCTTGGTTGTTAGTAAAAATGGCCCTTGATGGAAATGCATACGGCTTTCCCATAACAATTGAAGCCGGGGCTTGGCATTTTGAACTAAATCTGTGACCCACCGAGGGGCTCTCTCCTGGACCATGTATCATAAACCATGTGTTTATTGCTGCTCTGGACTAGCAAGAATGGGGAGATGGGAGTTCTGCTCATTCTGACAGAATTCTAACTATAGGGCCAAGGGTCTCCCTTCCAGCTACTGGGGAGTTGGTTCAGAACTGGAATTCTATCAAGCTCAGTGGCCCCATCCAGGAATGCTTTGCCTTCTGATCTTCAGTGGCCTCAGCTCTTTGTAACTGGAAAATATTAAGGAGAAACGCCAATTTTCAGTAACTCTACCTACCCTCTCTTTTATTCTGTGCCCACAGACTGCCGTTCCATCCACATTGGGCTTTCAGTCCCCAGTTACCCTCACAGGAAAAGAGACCCGAAGGGACATCTTTCAGGCCTGCAAAAGGTCCGCTGGGGCTTGAGGCCAGACAAGCCGCAGCAGGGGCTGGCCAGTGCCTGCAGCACTATGGATCATGTCATCAGGACACGTGAGTTCTTGAGGGGACCATTCTGGGGAGCCATCTTCTGGGTGGTCCAGATGGGGCAGGGCAGGGCAGGGCAGGGGGATTCTCTGGAGAATGTGAGGAACGCCCCATGTTGCTCAGGCCTCTCAGTCCCCTCTGCTCTGCTGCCACGGCAGACCAGCCTCCCTGCTCAGGGACACCTTTAGACAGGCTGAGCCCCTGTCCCTCTCTGGTGACTTTGAGACCTCTGCTCTGATCCATTCTGCCTTGATTTCACAGTTTAATTCTCAGAATTATTTCTTGTTTCCAAATTCCTAGGGGCCACACAGCCGTTGCCTGAAGAGCCAATAACAAACATGAGTGTCTGGTGTGAGGTGTTGTGCTCAGTAAACTGAATTCCTTACTGCATTCCCTCCACCCTCGCTCTTCACCTGAGCTTGAAGGAATGGTCTGGAATGGTCTGGGCACCCTGCTCCTCAGCTTGCAGAGTCCTAGAGGCTTTCTCCCAGGTCAGCAGAGCCCCTGAGGCCTTCCTCTGCTGTTGAGGAAATCAGTTCTGGGCTGGTTAAAAATCAGTCTTTTGTTCTTTCCTGTAGAAAGAAAAGTATCAATCTTCAGAAGAGTGAAAAGATTAGAGCACAACTGTGATATTTTATCCTTTTGAGCCTTCGCTGTTTCTAGGGACATGATTTCACCTGCAGCATATCCCAAATCTGCGTAATAAATGGTACCTAATTGGTTTCTACTATATAGTTCCACTGTCTTGAGCAAGGCAAAATGAGTTATTTTACCATCTAAACCTTCAAAAGAATGTCAGAGGCAGTAACAGCCTCTTAACATTCGTGTAGGAGACCTGACATACACGCTTGCGAAGGCCATCTTAGTCGCCCCCAACCCTGCACTGCCCTGAACAACTGCTGTCGTTGGCACCAAGTCTACCAAGGCCTGTGACTTTTCCAAAATAAATGTGCCTATGTGGGAGAAGGGTTAATGGGGAGTCCTTTGGAGGTGTCTAGTTTAAGAGATAAGCTTTGATTAAAATATGCATGTGCACACATACACACAAACATGCACACACAGGCTTATGCACACATACATGTTCAGGGGTAGACATATCAGAGACCCAAAGGAGGGCTAGCCTGGTGGGAAGGCCTGCTCCCCATTTCGGATCTGGATGCTCCCACTCACTGTCTGAGGCATTCTCCTGTCACCCCACCACATTCAGAGGTGAAGTCACCCTTTCAAAGTTGAGTCTGCTGGATCCTTCCTGAGTCAGGGAAGAGGAAAGTGGGTTAGAGCTGGTGCTCTCTTATCGAAGGGTTTGGAGGAGGTCTAATAAATGGTATTTGTTGATGCAACATGGTGCATCCCAGAAGTGGTCATGAATGGTGGATTTTATGTTGTTTTGGTGGTTTCTGGTTAATGGGACACTGGTTTTAACTGGAAACCAAAGGGGAGGGAATGGAGAATACTTTGGTACATTTGCACATTCAATTCATTCTCTTCACAGCCTGCTACTCCCATGCACATCACATGGCATGGCTGTGGAACAGGGGAGAGAATGGGAGGGCCTAGGAGGACAGGAAATTTCAAGCTGGGGTAAAGTAAGAACTCCTTTTAAAGGGAAAAGGGGCTGTGGACCCATGAAAATGCATTTGTACATTTGTAGAGCCCCAGGGGACCATAAAAATCCCAGTTTGAGAAATAATATCTTAATTAAGGTTTTATTCCATAAAAGTATCTTACATTTTTGAATTATAACAACAGAAAAGTTTTGCCCTTATATCTAATGAAAGAAATCTTTTTAAGATTATCATCAAAATGGAAACATGAAATTTAAAAATTCTAATAGATCCCACCTACCCCTAAGAATACTTTCCAGACCACAGTTCCAGACATGCTGACTTAAGGGGGCCACAAAGCCTGCTAGCAAAGTCAACAGCCACCACAAGTTTTCTGTAGCCCATGGGGGCTGAGCTTGTTCCAGCCATTCTCTTAGGGGTGGTAGAGGTTCACCCCTCAGTCTTCACTTCTTTCAAACCAAACAGGGCATTGTGTGTATGATGCAATTATAAACCCTGCTCCAGCACATCCCAGGGTCAGTAACAATGACCCGAGGAAGGGAAAACAAAACAGTGCCCAAGTAATTTTACTGCATCATCTAGATAATTGCCTGAATCTGCCACTTTTCTTTGCTGTAGGACAACTGACCACATGTGTTTTCCCTCTCTGAGTGTCCTGTCTATTCTATGAATCCATTCAGACAGCCCAGACAGGTGGTCTAGCTGGCCACAAAGTCCAAGTGGGACCTACCTCTACAGAAGAGGGAAATCATGCAGAATGGACGGCGTGGGTGGTGGCCAGGCGGGTGTCTAGACATAGCTAGGCCTGAGAGTAAAGCAGGCTGTGCAGATGAAGGATTGACAGGTGACTCCTTTAGTTTCTGCCTCACAAAACAATGACAAGAATTTGTACCATGAAATGGTATTTCATTGTAATTTTGTTAACTAAATGTATAGTGTTAATAAAAAGGAGATATTATTATCTCCATCTTCAGATTGGGAAATCAAGGTTTGAAGAGATGTAGTGTGATACAGCAGTAATCAGTGAAACTAGAATTTGTAAACAAGTCTGTAGACTCTAAAACCTGTGTGTGCCCCTTCCACTACACTACTATCCTTTGTAAGTTATCACTTGTCAGTCACCATGTTGGATATGGGCTGAGAATTGTATCCTTTTAAGCAGCCAAATGGCCTTATGATGACAGGGATACGTAGGTAGTAGTTACACCATAATATGATACACCATAGCAGTTGGATTACCACCCCTTCCTCCAATATGAATATAATTTAGGAAGTCAGTACTTAGCAGCCAATCAATTTTGACTCCAGCAGAGCATATAAAGGGAATAGAACCATCAAGCTGTGGTGAGAATCAGCAAGCGCCATGCTTCCTTCCCTGGAAAGAATGCATTTTCTGGCTCTGAGAACCTCTTGAGAGCTATTAGAAGCAAGAAGGTAAAGAGCAGCTGTAGAAATATGGCTGCCCTCTGGCGTTTCTTGGCTGGTGCTAAGAACCGGAGCCAAGATCTAAGAGGAACGAGACCGGCCAAGCCCAACCTGGTGTGTAGGCACTAGGGTCTCAGCACCTTCATCTGCAGAGTGAAAGATTGTTGTAGGGTGACCAACTGTTTCAGTTTAACTGGGATGGAGGGCTTTCCCAGGACATGGGACGTGGGACTGTCAGTGCTAAAACCGGTCAGTCCAAAGCAAACTGGGATGTTGGTCACACTGAGTTGTGAGCTCCTAGATGAAATATAAACAGACATGAAATATTTCGCATGGTGCACAGTGCATGACAGGCACTTGACATATGTTACTTCAGCTGACCTATGTTAACCCAATTTAAAAGCACTCCTTGGGCTTCCCTGGTGGTGCAGTGGTTAAGACTCTGCCTGCCAATGCAGGGGACACGGGTTTGAGCCCTGGTCCGGGAAGATCCCACATGCCGCGGAACAACTAAGCCCGTGCGCCACAACTACTGAGCCTGCACTCTAGAGCCCACGAGCCACAACTACTGAGCCCACGCGCCACATCTACTGAAGCCTGCGCGCCTAGAGCCTGTGCTCTGCAACAAGAGAAGCCACCACAATGAGAAGCCTGCGCACCGCAATGAAGACTAGCCCCCGCTCGCCGCAACTAGAGAAAGCCTGTGTGCAGCAACGAAGACCCAACACAACCAAAAATAATAAATAAACAAAAATAAATAAATAAAAAATAAAAGCACTCCTTTACGAGTGGACATCTGGTTTGGCTGCCGTCACTGGTACTGAGAAGCTTATGAGATCCTTCTGGTGGGAGGGGTGTGAAAAAGTGTTAATGTCTTCTTCTACTTGCCAAGTATTGAACGACTCTAGGGTCACTAAAAGATCAAAACCACCCCAAGATGAGAAGTGAGGGAGAGAAAGGCTATTTTTTAGCCAGGTGTTTGAGCCTCATATGGTTCCAAAGACTTTAGATTTCATGGGGTCTTTCTTTCCCATTTCTTTTTATTTATTTGTTTGTTTGTTTGTTTGTTTGTTTATGGCTGCATTGGGTTTTCGCTGCTGCACACGGGCTTTCTCTAGTTGCGGCGAGCGGGGGCTACTCTTCGTTGTAGTGTGCGGACTTCTCACTGCAGTGGCTTCTCTTGTTGCGGAGCACAGGCTCTAGGCACGCGGGCTTCAGTAGTTGTGGCGCATGGGCTTAGTTGCTCCGCGGCATGTGGGATCTTCCCGGACCAGGGCTCAAACCCGTGTCCCCTGCATTGGCAGGCAGATTCTTAACCACTGTGCCACCAGGGAAGTCCCTTTTTCCGATTTCTGATGAGGAAGGAGCAAGCGTTGGGACAAAAGACAAATTTACCTCTAAAGCATCTGCTCCACTAAGGAGCTCCTGAGACAGGCTGTGTTTGCAACATAGGAGCAAAGACAATTGGATTTCTTTTAGAGTTCGAAGCTTTAAAATGAGGTGGTTTCCTCTGTCTACTTTACCAACTTGTTTCTGGGAAGGAGTGGTAAAGAGAGGAGCAGAGACAAAGGGGAACAGGCGGGAGGAAAGGGGGAACGAGTATAAATGAGTTATTTTACCATCTAAACCTTCAAAAGAATGTCAGAGGCAGTAACAGCCTCTTAACATTCGTGTAGGAGACCTGACATACACGCTTGCGAAGGCCATCTTAGTCGCCCCCAACCCTGCACTGCCCTGAACAACTGCTGTCGTTGGCACCAAGTCTACCAAGGCCTGTGACTTTTCCAAAATAAATGTGCCTATGTGGGAGAAGGGTTAATGGGGAGTCCTTTGGAGGTGTCTAGTTTAAGAGATAAGCTTTGATTAAAATATGCATGTGCACACATACACACAAACATGCACACACAGGCTTATGCACACATACATGTTCAGGGGTAGACATATCAGAGACCCAAAGGAGGGCTAGCCTGGTGGGAAGGCCTGCTCCCCATTTCGGATCTGGATGCTCCCACTCAC